TATATATATATACGTATCCTATTTTTAGTATCTAATTTACACTCAAATTACACAAAGCTTTTTTATTTCTTAAAAACTGTTTAGAATTTTGATGATTTGTTGGAGAGAAAAGAAAACCATTTTTTTGCAGTCAAAATTTGTAGTGCTTAAATCGATGAGTTACCCACTATTTTATCCGGTTTTCTTTGGACAGTTAAAGTGTAGATAACTGCTGAAAAATAGGTGATTAAAGGAAGTGAGAAGAAGGGAAAGGTGATAAGATGGTGATCAAACAAAACAAAGAAATTTGATACACCTCAACTGACACGTAATTTGAGCAAAATAACGTCGACTTACCAAAATCTTTGTATTGTTTCGCTCTTTTTTTTTTTTTTTGCACAAAATTCGTACAACTAAAAAAACGTGGATGGGTATATTTTGTAGCGGTAAAAATTGGTTTTTAGAAACCCGATATTGGTACAATCGAATTCTGAAGGTCGCTAAACAGTATGAGACAAAAGCATTTTTTGCAATCAGTAATGAAGCAGTTTTTGATCAGGTTTGTTTCAATTATTCATTAAAAAAACCAAAGAAAAAACTGTAGTTAGACGTCGTGTCTAGAAAATACTGGTTGTTTAGGCAAATAGTAGCTTTATATTGGTAATTTTCATATCACTAAAGCAGATAGTTGTGAAGAATTAATGTACACTTTTGAAGCTCTGAAGGTGATGTCTAGACAACATATTTTGGAGAAATAAAAACTGAATAAAAGATAGACAAAAAACAAAATCATAACTGTTTAAGGAAAAAAAACGAAGAACAGTATCATTCTTGTTTTTGTTTAGCTTTAACTATAGTTCTTTGCTACTCAGTCACAGGTTATTTTTTTTTTTGAGGCTTAGAAAAAGTTGCTAGAACTACTTTTTGCCAATTTTTTCTTGTAGCTGCAAAAAAAAGAGAAAGAAAGAGCTTTGAAAAGCATTTGGGATATTTTTTAATTTGCTCACAACCTTATTTGCTTTCAATTTTGTAGCAAAAAAAAAAAAAGAGAAAATAGCTATTACTTTTCCTATTTTGTTTTAGTTTAGATCTTTAACATTAGTTGATTGCATAATTGTAGGAGTAGGATTAATGCTAATGTGAATATCATTAATATAGAATAGGCTAATTGTCTCTCTTTTTTTTTGACCGTAACCAAATCAAACAAACCAAAAAGAGGAGGAAAAGAATGATTATTCTTTGAGGAATTAGAGGACTTTGGATTGAAAAAAAATGGTGAACGATTAGTTGGTACAGATGATCAACCGATGATTGCTGCTGATACGAATCGTGGAAGATATCGTATGGAAACCAATTTTAGGTTCTATTTTGATTAATTAAGCATGTTTTTTTTACTTCAAAAGCAATTACTTCTCAACTGTTGCCATTTTGGTTTTTTTTTTTTTTGTTTTTATTTTGGATGCCTAAAAAGTTGCTCATACAACGAATTATATATTTACAGTTGATAATCAGTTTTAGCAGAAGTTTAGTGTTTTGCTGCTTTTGTTCTGAATTTACAACTTAAAAAAACAGCATACTGAAATGGTTGTGACACAAAAATTAGTCAGTTGTTGTCATCTGTTAAGATTACTGTTTCATACATCTCCACAATTTACTTTCAACTGTGCATATGAATAATTTGCTACCGGTCATTTTTCTTTCTTCTAAAAATAATCTATTTTCAGTGTTGAAAACTTTGCTCAATTTGTTCAATCAGTCTTAGATAATCAAATTGAAAAATTTATGAAAAGTGAAGACGAAGTAACGAACAGTGATAATTTTGTTAAGGTAAATACCACTAATGTTTAAGGTGAAGAGAAAAAAAAGCTGAAAAAAAAAAGAGAGAAGTTGGAAATGGGAAATGGGAAACAGATGGATGATATGAATCTGAATATTGTCTTTTTTTTCTTTAACTTTTGGAAGGGAACAGCATTGGATTTGATTAATATGCATTAGTCATTTTTTTTTTCTCTTTTCTGTAGTTAAACTGTGTGAGAAAAATTCGTTGATTTATTAAACTTTTCTTCGTTTTTTTTTTCTTTTTTTTTTACTGCATTATATAACAGAATTCTTTTTCTTTTGATTTTTGTAAAGATAGAAAAAAAAATTATCGTGTGCTTTAATAACGTAACAAATATGAGGAAAAATTTGTTTTTTTTTGATAGGTTATTGAAAATTATTTGGCTAATAATTGTCGACAATGTATTTTAGGTGGTTGTTAACAAAAATTTTGATCAAATTGTTCTCAATTCACCGTTTAATGTATTTTTGATGCTTTTTTCACCAATTTGTGGTATCTGTCGTCGGTTGTCGGTAAAACTTGATGAACTTGATCAACAGTTTATCAACGAAGATATTATTTTTGCAAAAATGGATATTATGGCCAACGATATACCACCGCTGTTCACCGATGGACTATTGTTGTAAGCCATTCATTTTTGTTGCTTCACTGTTATATGGCACTAATAATCCGGTTTACAGATTCTTTTGCTTTTTTTTCCTACCAATTGTACACATCAATAATATATCAACAAATAAGCAAAAGATGAAAAAAAAAAAATTGGCAAAAATAAATAATACGTATGACTGAAAA